TTCTAATTTCGAGTTTGAGCTGTAGGCGAGGCAATGAAACACGCGCCTTCGATACGCCTACACTTAAATAGTAACTAAAAGAATATACAAGTGCCACAAGTTTCAGATAATTTGAAAAGAGAAAAAGAATTATCAAATCACATATACAAAATATTCCTTACAAGAACTTTGATCGGTCACTTAGATATATGCTATAATAGTCTAATCTGAACAATTTGTTTCTGAACAATTTGTTGTCAAATAAAATGTTTCCCTTACAACAAAACTTGATTAGTTTGTAAGGCAGCTATATGATTTAGTGGTCCGATCTAGAAAATTTCCTTGAACAATAACCCATGCCAAAATTCGTAAATATATCTCGTCAAATGAAAAAGTTTTCCAAGCACTTAATTCCGATCGTTCAGTTTGCAGCTATATGCTATAGTGGTCCGATGTCTACGGTCCCGACAAGGGAGCAGATTCTTTGAGAGAAAAAGATGTGTGCAAAATTTCAGATTACTATCTCGTAAACTGAGGACCAAGTTATATAGACAGACGGCCGGACAGAGATACAAACGAACATCGGCTAAATGAACTCAGCTCGTCACGCTGATCATATATCATATAAATGGTATATTATAGGGTCCTCGACATTTCCGTCTCTTTCTGGGTGTTGCGAACCTCGTAGCAAACTTAATATACCCTGTTCGGGGTATAACAAGATATTCTGTCAAGCCTAGCTAATGAGCTAGTATCTCAAGTAATTTAATAGTATCGAATATATTTTGGGAAGGTTGATATCGTACGCAAAAACAATTTTTCAACAAGACAGCAGAAGTATTAGTGACTTGTAGAGTAATAATCTTTGTTTTTTAAATAGCTCTTAACAGACACCTTAAGACTATATTTCAGATGCGGTATTCACCACTCTACACTAGCAACTCATCTAAAGACCGCTGCCCAAAAACTATCTTCAATATTCGAACGTCAATATATAAATTCTACAACTCAGTTCATTGAACGGTTGGGGAAAGCAAATTTCAACATTTTATGATGCGAATTTATGGTGAAGAAAACCCAAACGCCTACACAAAACTAAGAATAAATTACCAAAAAACCACTTAAAGAACCTGTTGCCTAAGTCTCTAAAATATGAGCCATACATACTACATAACATATATGTTAGTTCATAGTAAACAAGGTATTGTATAATAGAAAATACTAAAACAAAGATTTTTTTTTTAAAAAAAAAAATAATAATAAATTTAAAAAAAAATTTTAAAGAAATGTAAAAAAAGATAATAATAAAAATTGAAAGACAATAAAAATAAAATAAAACAAATATGACAAAAATATAATAAAAAAATTAAAATGAAAATAAAATTAAAAATCTTCAAAAATAAAATAAAATAGAAAAAACTAAAAGAACCTAAAAAACTCTAAAAATAAAATTGGAAAAATTAAAAGAACCTAAAAATATCCAAAAATAAAATAAAATTATCTACAGTCTCACACCTTCGCATTTAAATGACATTTTCACAACAAAGACGAAATATGTAAGCAAGAATTACAAAAAAAACTAAAGACCATAAGGCGTCAATGGTGCTGAAGAATTTGGCGCTGCTACGCTGGCTACTTCAACAGACGAATTGGCAGGGCTGCGCAATACAGGTAGCCAAACACTTGATATCCAACGAATTTTGCTTACAAACACATGTAAGTAAGTATATTGCATAGCAAGACTGTCCAAAAAAAACCTGATATATAACTAGAGGAGCATACACGATACATGTATGCATACATACTCGTATAGACAAGACGAAGCTAAGAAGTTGGTTGCTAGTCCGACAGGTTTGCCTTAAAGTAGTTATCTGCATTTACATTTATCTATATGTATATATAACTAACGAGTTAAGACCTGTCTGCTGCGCGTCTTTTCCATTTTTTACGTGTCGAACCCTTTATACACAGTCTTAAGGTGTCTTCATACCCACATACATAAAAGCTGGTAAAATTTGCATAAGAAAATGTTCAAGTTTTTTATTGCCTGCCACTTGCATTATTTATTTATTTATTTATTTCAGTCTTCATATCTCTTTCTACCGTAATAATGTTATGAACTGGAACTTCTTAAAGCCATGAACTTGTTGCTACAAATTTTTCACTCATATTTTTTTAAATTTTTTCTGGTTTGTGCCATGAACAGCGAATGGCTAAAAAAATTATGCTTGTAAAAAATTTAAACGAGCCTGTAAAACCAGTTTTACTGCGCACACACACATACATACATGTTCTTATACATATATATGAGTATAGGTATGCATATCTAAAGGTGAAGAGCAGAGCGCACCTCGAATTTCACATGGAAACAGAATATTTCAGCAGTGTCGGGCAGTAGAATGAAGAAGAGGAATAAGAAGACGCCGGCAAAGCAACGAACCAGCAAACCATCGAATCAGTGAAGCACTTCACTTAACTGCTCAAACGAATGCATGGCGAAGACAAAAGACTGTAGCAAACTGTATAATGCATGCACACACATACACACACACATATATATATATATATATATATATATGTTTATTCATACATACATATATATATGTACATGTAGTTGTGCATGCATTGCAGTTCTGCATATTTAAGTGCCGCCAATAAAGCCAAATTGCTTGGTATAATTTGGGCAGAGCGTGAGCAGTAGTTTGAAACTAAAAGTTGCAGTTGCAACAAACCATCACTACTGCCGCGTAGCAAGCTGCTGCTGGTATTTGCAACCGCACACGCAAACGCACACACAAACAAACAGCCAACTATAATATACAAAAGAGCGTGTACTTGTAGCTTGTAGCCCAGCGCATGAGTAAGTCGGTAGGTAATTTTGGATAGGGTTCACTGCGCCAAAACAGCGGCAACACTCAGGCCGCCACCATTTCTACGAAGTAACGTCAGCACTATTATGCGCATGCGCGGCAGCGATTATTGCAGCGCATTAGTGCTTGCAAGTTTTGCAATAAACACCAGTATAAGAGGGGTGTGCAACAACAGCAAAAGCAGCTGTCAGCTGAAAAGTTCGCTTTGTTGTCATGTCAAGTCGGTGGTGGCAACGCAGGAAACACGTATATACGTCACCGACGTGAGAGGCCAAAGTGCACAAGCGCTACCACGAAATTGCTGCCTCGTAATTGTTGGAAAATGGAATGAATGCAACGAAAAATGCAAGAAAAGAAAAGACGAAAAGCAAACAATTTCTTATCTGAAAACTCTTCACATACTATACACAAGTTTTTGGTTGAGTGGAGTGAATAAACGAATAAAAAAAAATTAATAAAAAATGTTAGATAAAGAAAAATATTTAATAAAGAAAAATATTTAATAAAAAAAAACTATAAATAAAAAGATAAAAAAAAATGTATAAAATATGTAAGATAGAAAATAATATTTAATAAAAAAAAAAATGTATATAAAAATATATAGAAAAATTTAATAAAATATAATAAAAAAAATATTAGGTAAAGAAAAATATAATAAAAACAAATATTTAACCAAATTAAAAAATTCAAAAAACCAAAAATTATATACAACAAAAGCACTCGGTTAGACCGCTTAACAACAATGGGAGCACCAAAAAACACACTCAATGAAATTACCGATTGCCTTTTGGAGTTGCCCAGCTGTTGTCGACTGGAACGTAGCCGACGCTGCCGCCTTTTGCGTAACACCAGGGGTGACTCTTTTGTCTCTGCAATTATTAGCGTTGGTGTGCGTGAAGCATATCGTGTTGCGTTTGTATTAGTGTCACATAAAATAAATTGCGTTGGTATTTTTTACTGCGCTCTCTTGTATATTGAAAATAATTGAGCACATATTTTTTGAGCATTTTCTTTTTTGGAGCTTCGTTGCGGAAATGTTTGCATGTTCATTGTTTGACCGCGAAATAGATTAGTACTAAAAATACCCACTTGTGGATAAGTAGTATAGCACGGTAACCATATAAAGTAGTGGGTTTTTGGGTTTCCAATTAATATTTGGAAATAATTTAGAAGTTATTATATAATCCTTTTAAAAGTTGAACTTGTCATAAAATTGTCAAAATGTATGTAAAAGATAGACATTTAGCTCTAATTTAAAAAGTGAAAGTAGTTTTTGGGTTAGAACTTCAATTATACCATATGATGGTTTGTATGTCTCGAAAACACTATAATGTTGGCACCTCAAGCCATATAAGCCTTTACCTTGATATTTTCTCAAGCCAATTGTAATATAGCAATACCTAAATATTTATTTTTAAGATAGACTGTGTGTCAAAGATATATATACATGTGCATAAAAATGCTTATTTATTCAAAAGCCTTTAAATACTGAAATGAAAATCTCGCAAAAACTTATTTTTACACTAGAAAATAACACTCTAAATTATATTTTTATAAATCTTCAAGTTTATATGTAAATACCAATAGAGGTGCTCACCTACTATTTTCACAAAAATTGCGGCTGGTAAAATTTTTTTCTATCTGGAAATGGTTGTAAAATTTTTAAGTAAAACATTTGCTTTCAGAAAAACAAATAGTTTGGCATAATTTGTAGGGGAAAACAGATATCAGAAACATGGAGATGGGATTTGAACTTACAACTCAACGAATTGCAGTCACTTGAACCATGCATAAAACTACGAACCATCGTGTTGGTTTCAGTAATTTGACGAACGCTAATCATATATGAAGCCAAGTCAGCATGCCCGACTAAAAACTACCCACTAACGAACTACTCTAAATAGCTAACAAGCCGTCGATTATCAAACCACAATAACAACCTCCAATATACATAAAAATATCCCAACAAAAATATAAAAAGTAAAATAATAATAAGCTTGTGAAAATGGCAAATTCATCATAAAAAATAATACTGTTTTATATAAAAGTTTATGAAGTTAAAAAATGCAGAAATGTTGATATAAATATAACAAATTGTGTTACGCCCACCCACATTTTAACCCCCAAATGAGTAGCAGTTCTGTTACATACCCATTTGCGGCCACTAAGCGGCGAATTGTTCTTTGCTGCTCGAATGCTCGCCAATTTCACGCGCCAAATCCGCTATCACCTCCTTATAGATCAATGGATCGATATTTTTGCCCAACTGATACAGCAGGAACCAATCACCGATATTGCATTTAGTTGCCACAGCTTGAACTTCATCGCTATCGGCCAAACGGGAACGGGCACGCAACAACAAATGACGTAGTTTAGGTCCCATAATAACAGCCATACGATAAACCAATGAAATGCCAGATAATATGCTCAAAATGATGAACCAGAACCATAAGAAGACATAGATTTTCTCATTGACAATATTCAGTGGCAACACACAAAGTCCGTCGAACTTTTGCACCGAACCGGATGGACCATATTTGTGGAATGTACATTTAGTGACTTTCGGAAAGACACGCGCCATCGGATCGACACGTTGATCCGGTTCCATTTCGGTGAATTTCAATACATCACTGCCGTATGTAGAGAATTCACCATCCAAAAAGAAGTCCACAAAGAATATTTGTCCAATAACATTGATGAAATTCAATGCCTCACAAACGAAGAAACGGAATGCATAGAAATTGTGACGACTCAAATTGTTAGAGAAATATTCGACCAATATCTTTTTACGATCATTTTTACACTCCTCATTCACAATGGGACTATTCAGATCCATCACCAGCATTTTTAGGCGACCACCTTCCCATGATTTCCACAAATAGCGTGGCACATAGAACATAATGGCCTGGAAGAAGAGCACGAAACATACCCACTGATAGTATTTGTGATATTTCACCTCATCCTCGCCATCAATATGCGAACCGACGCCCGGTTGCACAACATCGCGACCCGTAACGCCGGTCAAACGTTCCGGTACAGTGAATGTAGAGTAAATCCAACAATAGGTATCCATAACACCAAGTGGAATTTCATCGACAATACAATCGATCGGATCACCAATATATTGACGCGAAGTGACGAGCAGCGAGAAGGCGATCAATATGATCACCGTCGCCTTGTAGTGCATGCGAAAGACATTGTTGTCGATGCAGACTTGATCGATCTTCAGCAGCCCCTTAACGGAGCCGAATACATCAAACATTTTGACGGTTTATTACTTATGTACAACGCAAAGTAAAAAAAAAAAAACGGTGTACCGTTATTTCGGGAATGTTGTTACGTTACGATTAAAAGGCAGTAGTTTGGTAGTAGGCGCTTGCAATGGTAATACTTTCGTTGCAGATTTTTAGTACTCGCTTGTATTGTTTTTTGTTTTACTTTTCTTTCCACGCAATTTTGCTTTCACGGCGCATTGACGTTACCGTGGCTCGTTGCTCTTTATTATGGCAGTGACGATCAGTAGTTTGGTGATTTACGGAAATCAATTTCTACGCGCCTAACACACAGCTTTTTTCATTCAGAGTTTCATCATGCATTTGCCCTAAACAAATTGCAAAACATTTTCGCTTTTGCTCAAATTGTCACACAACACAAAATTGTTTACTTCGCGATAAATTGCATGGCTTTGTTTTATCTTGCTTTTTTCGTTTTTTTATTTTTACTTTTTTGATTCTCTTGATTTAACCTCGCTAATTTCCTGACGGCGGGGCAAAGTAGTGACACGCACAGCGTTTTGTTTAGATTATTATATGGAATATTCACTGAATATTATTGAAACTTTATGGCTGTTGTTGATTTACTATAAACATTCGCACACTAGCACTTCATTTGTCGGTGGGGGGCCTGTCTGTCTCTGCCTGCCCCTGTTGTTGCTGTTGTGTATTTGATTGGCTTGAGACACTTGGTCCAACCGTTTGGCTGTTCGTTTGAACACACTTTCTGTATGGTGTTTTGTAATTACGCCGTTGCACCGCGGCACAAAGCGTACACTTCGAATAGAAAATTAAAACTGTTTAGTAGATTGCGAGCACCAGCGGACGCTGATAGAAAGGCACGTTGAAAAAGATGTATGGAAAACGTACACATATGGGCGCGCAAGCGGCAGGCAGCATAACGCGTCGTTTCGTGGAGTTTTGAGTTGTTTGCCCGGCAATTGAGTGGCTTGTTCGCGGTGCGCTTGTGTTAGTGCGCGCTGTGCTTGCCGACGCGCTGGTGTGTGTAAAGCCGCCACAGCTGACGGAACTCACTAACACATACTAGCCGACGATTTTAATGCAATTGTGTGCGTGTTTTATGTGTATGTGTGTGTGCGTGTGCTTGTGGTTTGCTACCGTGCTCCGCTGTCGCTCTGCGTTAAGCCCGTTTCGGTGTCAAAGAGCAGGCTGAGCTTAAAGTGCTCAGCACATCAACGAGCTTATAAACATCCGAGTGGCTTACTTATTTGCTCTGCGTGCTCTATCTGATGCTTTATGTATGTATGTGTCAATACACAAATTAAGAATAATTCGACTTAAAAGTTGCTTGCTTCAAAATGTATCTCGCAGTTGCAAACTCGTTTTTATACCAGTTTTTGAGTTGAGTGCATATTAAGAAAGGATTTTTGTGAATGTTGAGCACGTTTTGCCATCCCTGCTTCACTGCTGCATGCTATCTCCCTATATGTATCGGAAGATGCATGCTATCATATTTATATGTATGAATGGATATATAGCAATATTTTAAGCAGTACCTGTGTGGCGAAGGTGTTGCAAGAACAGGATTTATTTGGCCTCACATAAAAATCCATGGTTTGAAAACGACTGTGCTGTCATATGTTTCGGAGAATTATAAAGTCTAATTTTAAGATAATGCTGCCGAATCATAGAAAAGCGAACTAAATTCACTAACGGACTGGTATATTTATTTTTTCACAGATATATCATATAAAAACAGCGAAAATCAAATAAAAATATAAATAAAATTAGTGAAATTACAATTTCGGGTTTTTCTGTTTATAGGATATGACAAAAATTAAATCAACTAAGCAGAAAAATCCCTTTCTGTTACCAAAAAAAAGCATTGATGAAAGGTATATGGTCTTAGATACTTCTTCCTGCTCTCAGATCACAAGATAAAAAAAATTGAGCTCTAGCTCAATAATTTGACTTAGAAAGAGACTTTGACTTGAGTTTAATTATCCCAAGGTTCTGTTAAGCAACAAACTTTTGATTCAGAAGTTGGGAAAATCTGTGAAAATATCCAAACTTCGCGTTATTTCAACAAATCGTTTCAAACCGCCTTTAATTTAAATATTTACATTTTTGATTTTTAATACTATTATACTAAGGACTTAAAAAACTAGTTTGGCGTAAGTAAATCAAATGAATAATAATTCAATAAAAGCGTTATATATTCACTCGCAATTCAGAAAAAACGCGTTTTTTGTGATTTTTTTTTAAGCAGCATTTTATTCAAAAAATAAATAACAAAGAATTTACATTTTCAGAATCTAATGTATTTTAATAATTGCTGATTTATTTCGAAAAACTTTGGCATATTTTGATCCTAAAGCCGATCTTCAGAAGGACCACCAAAAAAGATTTTTAACGATGAGGTAGATTTTTTTGCTCAAAATTATCGCAAATCAAAAAACAAAAAAATGATTAATGTATGTAAATTGATACAGGTAATGATCGGAGGACTAGTCAAAATTTTGATTTTTTATCAAATAGTGGTTTCCAAAAAAACAGTAGTTTTTGTAAAAAATGTGGCTTAAAAATTCAAAATAATTTTCAAAAATCTTATTAATATATATAAAATCGTGTTGTGAGGTTGTGTGAAAATTTCAAGTCGATCATAGCAGTGCTTTCGGTAAAATTTGCCTCAACTCCAATTTCAATCTCTTCTCTCATATCTCTGAATAAATTTCAAATTCTTCGAGAATATATACATACTATATGCATATGTATGCGATTTTTTCAAATTTCGATTTTGATCGATTTTTTTTAATTCAGAGGTGACACATTATATGAGCCAGTTAGAATTTTTTTTGGTTCAAAGCAAATCAAAGCTTAAACCGGTAGAGTCGAGCAAATTATTGAACCATAAATAATTTTTAATATTCAAATTTCTAAACTAGTTCAGTAAAGAATTTTATTTTTAATAATTTTTATGGTTAGAGTTATTATAAAAGAAAAAGTGTATCATTTAGTAAGAGCTAGCTCTTATCAATACTAACACCAGCACTTTCTCACGGTAAAAATTACATCCAAAACATTTAATATTCAATGAAAACAGTGGCAACGCTTGAGAGCCCAACTTGCTTATCTAATTTGTTATATTTATTGTTTCTTCCATCTCACTAGCCACCTTACTGCCATGTCTGATGAAAGAACTCATCTGCAAAGAGTTCCACTGGTTGTAGCTTATCTTTTTGTATACATACACAATTATATATACCACCTATAAGTATATGAGACTGTGTGTAAGCAGGTATTCAAGTGGAAATATCTGTGATGCATTGAGTTGAAAAAATTCCTGGAAGTATGTTGCATGGACAGCAACAACAATGACAACAATATGCTACAGGTATATTCGTACATAATTTGTTCTTCAACATGTGTGTGTGTGGAATTACTTTATCTGCACCACAGTATTGGAATTACAGTTTTGCACATCGATCACTTGGTTCAAATAAAATATAACATGACATACCGTGTTTGCGGTAGTTATTCCTTCGTAACTCAATTTGATATATTAAATGGTAAAAATTGCATTGTTTCCAAATTATAAAGTCTGATTTTTGTTCTTAAAGATTTGTGCTTGTTGTTCTTTTCTTCATTGAGATATTAGATATATATTTTGAATTAAAAAAGCTTTTAAAGTTTTGGAATGTCGATCACTGAAGTCCTATACGTATTGATAGTGGCCTCTCCACACCGCATTAATGTTTCTTAAAAAGTTTCTATATAACTACGTGTATTATGTTAAAAAAAAAAATTCGAACTATAATTAAATTAATAAATTTTTCAGAATTTTAAAAAGGCAGTATGTTTAGTTTTCTAGCATCTGCAACAGCATTTATAGAGCGAAATAAAAAATAAAAGCGCTCCAAATAGTGTAGATCTTCTAAATAGCCAAACACCAAGGTCGATAATTTTTGAAAGTAAAAAATTAAAGTATATAGAATGAAACCCATTGAAATAGGAAGATAAAATAACAAAAAGGAAAGAATAATTAATTTACGAGCGATCTGCGGTTGGAAAGAGGGAGACGAGGCAGGCAGCTTAAAAACGGTTAGTGGGTTTTTTTTTTGCATTTGTTGTATTTTTGAGAAATTTTACCATCGTGATGTATACATATGTATATATATATTTTTTATACCATCAGATAGTACCGATTTGAACGAAGAATCGTCTACTGACATTTTTAAACAAGCTGATATTTAAAATACAAATTTTCGATTGAAAATTAGGATCCTTTTCCGCTATTAAATCAGGCTGAAAAACTAAAGTTATTAAATTTAAAAAAAAATACAGTTTGCTGGGGACAATAAACCATTTTCCACACTACTCGTAGTTTCCTCGAAATTCGGCATTAAGTATATTTAATCTTTCAAAATTAAACCATCTCTTCCTCGTCCTCTTCACAACCTCAGATCGTTTGTAAATTATTTTCACTTTCATTTTGTTCTGAATTTTTCAATGAGTTTCAACCTACTATATATTTTTACTTTTGCAAAATATTACTATTTTTAACAGCCTAAGCACTGGATAAATAATTTTTGGTAGAAAAAAAAACGATAGTAACGTTTATGGATACACCGAAATATAAGAAAACATGCATGTTGTGCTTAGAGTAAACTTTAGAATATAAGTCCCATAAATAAGCATAATATATAGTTAACTAAGGATATATTATAATTATATATTTTAGTTACTTGCAAAGACGCATAAATAATAAAAAATTAGGCTTTCATAAAAATTGTGAACTCGTAAATAATACTCGTCATACTATCTCTACTATCTACTTTCAAGCCCAGCTATGCGAAGGCATAAAAAACAAATGGGTCTATTAAAGTAAATATATTTGGGGAAACATCAAGGTATTCATGCAATAGATATACTCATATTTGCTACCCAACAACGCTTTCACCGCTGTAACACCAATGACAACATAACAGTGATATCAGTAGACGCATTATACGTAGACATTCGCTATTGTCTATTTATTTCTGGCCACTTCTACTTGCTGTAGTTGTTGCCAATAGCCGATATACCATAACCGAGAGTCAAATGATAAAATTCACGTTTTACCACGAAAGAAAGAAATATTTATAATTTTCTTCTTTCGTTACAAAGTAGATGTATCTATGTATGGATGTGTGTGTGTAAAAATACCTGTAGGGGTACAAGTAAGAACAGACCCATTTACTTGCATGCAATGTACATTTAAATGCCTAAATACATGCCCACTAAGAAATATTAGGAGTTTGATGTGGAGAAACATTTGGAAAGCAGTGCAGTATAGCGCACCAAAAAACAAAAGGGCTGCGGTGAACAAGATGTAAGAGCTTTGGTGCTTAATATATATGGTATAGATTTGGAAAAAATTGCAAAAAAAAAAAATTTATAAAAAATATAAAATCTCATCGCAACGTTATATTTAACCCATAAATTTGAGAGTTATTTTATAACATATTCAGGAGTTCCGAATGTGACACATTTTTGTACAAATTTTCAAAATAACCAGAGCTTCCATGGATTGTCCACGCTTGAAGGCTTCTTGTAATAAGACTATATTTACACTGCGAACCAATTCCACAGAAATAGGAGTTTTGATGTGTTATATCTCTAATCACAACAACGACAGATTTTATTAAACGGAAGAGGATTTTTAGCTGTTTGGAGGATAAATTCAAGAAAAATTCGAAGTCAGATTAACTCTCTATTTTAATTTTTGAAACAACTTTCTTTCCAGACTAATTGATTACTTTAGGTTTGGTTACATGGCTTATCACCCAAGATAGCGGGGGATCATTCACAGACTCCTTAGTGAAACGAGAAAAAACTCCTATATCATAGTTGAATATCAGCTATCGACAAATCGCTTCGAACTTGTCATAAATCTGCTTAGGTGCTTTATTTCTATTCCCACTATTTCACCTGAATGTCTAGTATGTGATTCGAAGGGGTTTAGCCTTGATCTGATTCTTCCAAACAGCTGATAAAACTGGCATTCAACTAAAAAACCCATTGGAAGGTGGACTTTGCTGAGGTGGACATTTTCCATTCCTTAGAATACTATTTTAATAGTTTATTCTCACGCGGTATGATATTTGATAAGTAAAATCTAAATTTTTACGAAATATTGAAACAGGTGACGAATGATACCTAGTCGATTGGTTGGTTGAAAAGGAGAATTTAAAGAATAATTGTCTGCTTGCGGATGCAACTAAGTTATCAATCATGGATCCTAACATG